AATACAATCACAAAAATGAATCACATTCAAATATAATAACATCCTATATGTCAAGTTTCTCAAAAAATACTCGTCCTAAAAACAAGGAATACAAAAAAGAACAAAAATCACTACCACATTTAAAAAAAAAAAACCCAAACCAAACAATAATAACCATTACATTATACGAGCAATACGTTATATTATCTACAAGTGGTCAACATAATATACTATAAGTTTTCAAGAAAGAGCAAGGAACAAGAACAAGTGTAAGAGTAAAGCAGAGAAAAGACAGAGACGGAAAGAGAGAAAGGATAAAATAGAAGAAGAAGTAGAAGAAGAAGAAGAAGAAGAAGAAGATAGAGAGTGTTACCATTGGGCAAAGGAGAAAGGGCGATTTAAGTTGCCGACGATAAGATAACGTCCGCAAGCCGGGTAACGGGCAATTAATTCGAGAGTAGCTTGAGTAAACAGGCCCGAGAAATTAAAAGCTATTTGTCATGGCCTCGGCAGGGTTCCTCTTCCATCCAAAGGGGTGACTTTGCTATTGCTGTTGCTGTTGCTGTTGCTGCTCCTACTACTGCAGCTGCTACTGTTGCCATTACTGTCTTACGAAGGAAGGAAGGAAGGAAGGAAGGAAGGAAGGAAGGATGAAGAGGGAGCAGAAGACTAGTATAACCAAGCTTATGCTACTCGCCGCTTTGAATTAAGATCGGACCGATATGCATCGTGTGTTATAACCTTCCACGAAATTTAACCTTCCCTCGGGCACCTGGATTTTACATTACTTACGAAAAATGAGCTACACTAACGTCATCGCTCTTTTCATATACATATATATATATATATATATATATATATATATACTCGTTTAATAAAGCGTATGTATGTATATATGTATGGATGTAGGTATGTATGTATGATGTATGATGTATGTATGGATTTAGGTATGTATGTATGTATGTGTGTGTGCGTGTGTATGGTATTTCATTTAACTTTTGTTGCTCTCTTTTTCTTCTTCTTCTTCTTTTCTCTTCTTTCTTTACCACTATACTCATTTTTATCTATCTATCTATCTATCTATCTAGCTAGCTAGCTATCTATCTCTATAATACTTTTATTCTCCGTTTCTGTATATTATCTTGGGTAAGGAATCTCTTGGCAAGAGATACGCTTCCTTTATGGATGATAATTAACACCGTAATATTGTTATATTACGGGGCTTTGTTTTAACTCGGTGTTCTGCTGTGTTGCTGGTAGGTGAATGAGCGAGTGGGAGGGTGGTGGGTGGTTATGCGTGCGCACGCGTTGGAGAGGTGTGTTGGTTATGACGTTGAATGTATGTATTTTTTCTCGAATATTCGCGATGAAGAGCAAAAAAAAATTCGTTAGGAAAGCTTTATGAAACTTTATCAAAAAGAAGAGATATGCTAGATGATATTCTTCTATTTCCTATAAATGTTCAAACTTTAAGCCGATTAATTTCGATCGTGTGTTCTACCATGAAACTATTTTTCTACCAATTTTTTGGTTCATCGCGTCATTCTTTTTCTCTTTTCTTTTTTGTTTCCTTCCTTTTGTATTTATCTTTTGTGTTCTTTTAAATTCATTCTTACTCTTCTCCCTTTTTTATTTTTAATTTTGTTTTTTTTCTTTTTACTATCTCTTCCAAAACCTCCCCATTTCGTTTATTTTCTCTTACTTTATTTTTCTTTCTCTTTTTATAAAATCTTTGAAAAGTATAGAAAGATAGAAAGAAAGTGAAATATGATTTATGAGAATTAAAACTAAATCTAGTCTAACTTATATATATATATATATAGAT